GGGGGCACTTCCTTTGCCTTCATGGCTGCAATGACTGGGTGGCTCCCCCAGGTGACTGCCCTCTTTCTGTTTTACTTTAGAGTTAGGGAAGAGGACAGGAACTGTGTCCTGAATACCAGGAAATCTGAAGCACTATTCAGGGAGCAAGCCAGGGCTTTGAAGTCTGACCGCACCACAGAGGGACTGGGCAGCCCTGTTTCTCCCCCTTGCTGCCGCCAGCAGAGCCATCCCATGGGCCCCTGCCGGCAGAGATGCTGCTTTGAGGAAAACTCACAGGAGCCTAATAGATAAAATAGTTACTATCAGAAATGAAGTCAGATTGCAACAAGCCAACTCAGGTCAGCAAAAACAGAATCAGTCATGGTGCTTAAGTGTTGTTTAAGATGTTAAAATGTTTAAGGCTATTTTCTTTCGGTGTTATCGGTCTACTGAGGCTAAGTCATCCTAATGAAATGCTCTACTACAACGGTGGGAACTTTTCTCCCACTCTGTGAAAAGGGCAGGAAAATTTCCTCCAAATTGTGCCTAGCCCATTGTTCCTTGAAGCATTCAGAAAAATAAAGGGAAGGGCGTTTTGTTTTGTTTTGTTTTTTTACAAATGTAATCATATAGGATATTTTATCCTATCCTCCAACTCTGGAGTGTTATGTAGAAAGCAAGACACCAGGACCTCATGTGTAATAGTGCTAGTCCATTATTTTACAAAAATACATAAACAAAAATACAGTTCTGTTGTTCTACAAATCATGTCATGTCCAGAGTTAAATAGATTTAAGATATTTATGGGAGGCATTGGCCAACTGAAATATCCTGCAGAGGGCTATAACAATGTTCAGGATCTGGAAGCAAGTTATGAGAAACCTTAGTAGAGACATCGTAATAGCTTTGTATTATTTCTCTAGAAAATTACATTATGGCAGTTTGTAAGAGATGAACAGAGGTTTAAACTCTGCATAAGGAAAAAAAAAACAATATGATCAACAGTGCTCAGAAATGGTGGCTTCAGTTTCAAAAAATCAGAGAGAGGTTGTGTGGGCATCCATACAAATTCAGTAGAAAGGTTGATGATGGAACAGAGGATCATATTCTAAAGTAGTAGAATTCTCTGCTACTATGTACTAATTACCCCCTTTATCCTATAGCAATGTTTTAAATAGGAATGTTATAGGTAGGAATTCTTTGATGGGTATATTAAACCAACAGAAATTAATAAACGTGTTTGGAATGTAGTCTGTTCATTTTTTATCATTCCCTCCGTACTAGCAAAAAGGAATTTAAGGCAGCAAATGACTAATGTTGGAAGAGCCAGAATTAGAGTCCCAGTCTTGTGCATTTTCTATTAAAGAATAGTAAGTGAAACAGCTGCAAAGTCTCAGGGCAGCTAGTGGTGTTGCTGTCTGATTATTTGACTTGCTATACATAGAAGAGAATGCTTTTTTGCTTAGTACTAAAAAGTAGAAAAATCTGCTCTGGGAAAGTCTATAGAGTTGTTATTGCTGTCATTGCTGTCAGTGGTAGAATAATGTTACAAAAATAGGATTTCTACCCAGAACAGACCTCATGTAGCTCCATATCATGATACAAAGATTGTCATGTAAATTTTAATCAGTTCCAACATATGGTAAGACCATTTTGGAGATCATGTAGAAAGTAGATTATACTGTTTTTAGCAAGGTTGTAAGCCTCCCTGCTCACTCTATAAGTAGCCTGGATTTCAAAAGAATTTCTTTCTCAGAACCTTTCGGTAGAAACAGGTCATGAGTTAGCATAAACCCAGGGCAGCTTAAGTGTTCCAGAATAGCTAGATTTTAAAAATGACCATAAAGCCTCCATTTAAAGGGCATTACCTGGCAGCATATTTTATGTAGCACATTGCACTTACAGTAAGCTGACTTGGTCTTGTTTGTCTCATATGCTTTGTTTGACCTCAGCAGATAAAGATTGAGTAGGTTGAGACTGGTCCCTCCGGAAGTCCTTCCTCAAGAGTCCTTCCTCAACAGTCTGGCAAGGCTGCTACTGTCAAGCCTGCCTTAGCAGTGACCAGAGCACAAGAGCTTCGGGTACCCTCACGTGTACTTTAACAAGCACTCTGAGTAGTTCCCCATAAGGTGCATGCTCTGTGTGAAAGTAGCTGGGATAAAAAGAGAAAGCTCAGGCAGTACAGGGTATGCTTTGTTAGGTAAAACATATTTAACTTTGGCTGTAGAAGGAAATATTAACTGTGATTTGCTAGAACAACTCATTCATTTAAATGGTCTGGGAACATGCCTTTATAGAACTCACAGGACAATGATAGAAATGAAAAATTATGATAGGCTAAAATTTTATTTACCCTATGTAACCTCTGTCATCAGTGGAGATAAAGAATGGGAATGCTACTTTAATCGGTGTGTAGGAGCATACTGACTTGGTGTCACTTTTCCTGTTTCTATTAATTGGGACTGCATTCCTCCTCCTAAGGTTGTGATGCCACCTTGTCTCTCCCTGATTCTTTTCCCTTTCTTTGCTCCTAAAAGACTTCCCTTCACTTGCATTCTACCCTTCCCTTAGCCTTCTCATTATTCCTCAGTTCCCTCTGGGCAACTTCCTTTCAGGCTCTTTGCAGCTAACTATGTACATGCCAGTAGCTTCCAACTTTCTTATAACCTTTGATCATATTTCCACTGTGTCCTATACTTCTCCATGTGAATATGTGTGGGACCTTCAAATTCAGAAGATGCCCCCTAGACTTAATACTATTTTTCAAATGTTTTCCATCTATTTTATTTCTTGGTAAGTCACATGAAAGTTATACAGTAGTCTAAGCCAGTAATACTGTCATTCCTCTTCACTCTCAACCCATCACAGCTAACTAATCATTAAGTTATATAATTTCTGCCTTCTGACGGCATTTCAAGTTCCTTACCTCCTCTCCATTTCCACTGTCATCACCTCAGTTCACATTTTCAACATTTACAAGAACCAAAGAAGTCCTTTATAAATGCCTGATTGTGACACTGTCCTACTTAAAACCTTCAGTGCCTGCCATTGCTACATACTTGGGTATCTGCAGAGATTAGGAAAATAATGTATGTGAGTGAAATGGAGCATGTGTAACACAAGAGGGAAGAATAAGAAAATGCAGTCCTGACTAAAGAGATTCATACTCAGAATACTGAAAGACAAATCAGAAACCTGTCACAGTCTAATTTGCCTATGGACCTCTGGGTAGCACAGCCAGGTCTAACCTGAGCACACTATGGTACCTTCTTTGCTATCGAGTATCTCCTTGAGATAGCAACTTGGAACTCTCATCTTCTGCAGAGACTGGTACAACCAGTGAGTCATGTGTTGTTTCTAGATCAAAATATATAAGCATAAAGAATTCTGTGTTTATCATAAGAAGTACCTCTGTATTCATGGTAACGGCTGTGGAGCCACATGAAACTTTGCTGGGTTTCAGTTCTTTCTTGTATTAGCTGTGTGGTTTTGAGCTATTTGTGTAACTGCTTTGAGCCTCAGTTTCCTCCTCTGCATAAAAAAATAATGGAATCAAAACCAAGAGTACAAAATCAAACAATAAATAGCCTGAAATCATCTAGCTCAATGCTTGGCACGGAGTAACTTCTCAGTAAAAGATTACACTAAAATGGGAAAAAAATTGAGAAGTGGCAATAAATATACAAAAATCTAATTCTCCCAGAACTTACCAACCTAGCAGGGTAGCTATCTGCAAGTAGAATTTAAGCCCAGAAGATGCTGGCGTTGACAAATTCATGAGCAAAATGGGGATATGGATACTCCACCGTCATGCATAACATATAAAGCTTGTTCATTTTTCTCTCTACATATAATCTGTACTTTTTTTAGTAAATGTGACATTAAGTGAAAATTTAATTCAGTGGGTTAGGATATGTAGAATGCTTATTTTGGTTTATTATCTAAACAGATATTAATCTGAAGCATCAGAGAAGCAAGTAAACAGCTTAGTTTTCTTTTTCAGAGCATTTAGCATGTAAGGGAGGAGGGCTGTTAACTTTGTTTTATTCCAGTGCACAAAAATACTAATTACATTTTGATTGATCCTGGAACACTACAGAAGTATTGAGGAGCTTTAATTATTCACTTAAGAGAAAGAAAATATGTGCCATCTTGTCAGGCATTGCATATTTTTATGATTTAGTTTTGTAATGACTGCAGATTGAATCTAGGGCCTCATGCTTGTTAGGCATGCACTCTACTCCTGAGCTACAGACACAGCCCTATTTTGTTTCTTAAACTTTAGGTTAATTTTGCCACTTATGGATACTTTCACTCAGTAATTTGTGTATACATCTGACATGATTGAAATAGGAAGCTGAACAGCCCATAGTGTGCTGTTCTGCCCTTCCAAAGAGCTGTGGTGAGGATGCGTAAACTGCTATGAACAGCTGGAAACTGCGGCTGGTGGAATGACATGCTCAGAACTCCTGATTGTGCTTAGAATGGAGAGACTGGGAAAAAAACAAAACAGTAAGCCAGCTTGATATAAAGGCAAGAAAAAGATTTAGATTTTCAACTTCTTGCTTTGCAGCAGTGTCTTGCTCTAGACATACTTTCTTGCCCAGAGAAATTATGCTGTATTTAAGCAATAGAGCAACAACATTAATATTACACAGCTTTAGTGGTAAAGTATCTGCTTAGCCCTGGGTTCAATCCCCAGGATACAAAAAGGGAGAAAATGGATATCACAGCAAAGAGGGGGCTGTCTAAAAAGCAAAGCTGAAGTATTTCAGAAAGAGCGTTGAACACAAGGATAAACAAGTGCTGTATTTTACTCAAGACAGTAGAATTGCTTTTGGATTTTAAAGGAATGACACTAAAAACTTGATCTAGATAAACAGCATGTCATTTTCTCATTTGGACATTATTTTAGTGTTTAATCATTTTATTTTTCTTAAAGAAATAATTTAATTTTGGCCAATGACTTCGAAATAATTTTATTTCCCTCCCTCCCTCTCTTTCTCCTTTTGTACTTATAGCTCCCCAGAGAAATTTTGAAATTGCCTTCAAGATGTTTGACCTGAATGGAGATGGAGAAGTAGACATGGAGGAGTTTGAACAGGCAAGTTGTGCCAGCGAGTTTCTTAAAATGCATTAATATTTCCAACACATTTCATATGCGTTAGATTTAATGAAGGACTTGATAAAGTAATATCATCTTGTACCCGTTCTAAGTCTAAACAGTGATGGATTTATTTTTAAGTCATTATGATATTGTGATTAAGAGTCTAATCAAAGTGGTAACAATAGCTATCATTTACTAAATGCTTTCTGTGTAACATTCTTTACTTTAGGAACAATTCTATACATTACATTTTATCCTCACAACAACCATGTAAATATAAGAAGTATTGTCTCCGTGTTGCATAAACTGAGAGTCAGCAGGATTGAGTAACTTGCTCGAGGGAACATGGCTGGAAACTCATGGATTTGAAAAGGACTTTAAAGCTTTTGTTTTTGCTTACTTCACCGTGTTATTGTGTTGAAAGATTATGCAAGAAGTTAGGAACATACAAAGACTTGAGATTGTTAGTGAATGTGTTCAGTTGACTCACCCTCTCCAAATACACACTATTTGGCAGTATGTATTAATACTTTAAAATGGACATACCCTGCAATCTTTCAGTTCTTCTAAAGGTTTACTTTGAGGAAATAGACAACCCAAGAAAGAGTAAAATGTTCACTACTGCTTTGTTTATAATACCAAAAAAGTAGAAACAAATTAAATGGCCATGAGTAAGGGACTGGTTAAATTCTATACAGTAGAATGCTGTGTAACTCTTAAAGAAAAAATATTATTGAAGAAAGTCACATTACTAATATAAGTTAGAGTAAAATCTTGTTTATGGAAAATACTGCCTGTGGGTGTATACATACATATGCACATTTATGTAGTGTGCATTGTATATGCATAGATGAACAAAAGACGTTTCAACAGTTTTCTTGTGGAAGATTAACATTTCCTATTTTATTTCTATGTTTTTTGCCTTTATTGTAATAAACTGATTAATTTTATAAAGAGAAAAACACTATCTTTAAAAAATCAAATTTCTTTAAACATTCATAAGTAAATCTGTTTCACAGTTAAAGATAATAAATGAAATTCTAAAAGGCATTAAGAAAAATAACATTGTTACAAATCTTAAGGTTTTAAGTATTACGCTTTTTTTCTAGGACTGGGGATTGAACTGCAGGTGTTTGAGCTACACCCCCAACCCTTTCTTATTTTTTTATTTTGTGATACAGTCTTGCTAAGTTGCAGAATTGCCTAGGCTGGTCTCAAACTTTTGATCCTCCTGCCTCCGCCTCCCAGGGTGCTGGGATCATAGGCATGCATTATCATACCTGGGTAGTATTATGCTTTTTTAATTTGGCATTTAAAAAAATCATCACCCACAAAGCAGTATGTATTATGTATATTACCATACCTTTATTATTTACTCTTACCTATCTGTTTTTTAATTATTCTGAGTAGCTGATTTTATTTGCTGCTGAAGAGACAGAAGTGGTCTGAAAGCTGTAGCAACCATAGACATGCCTGAAAGAGTTCATTTACTTAAGTACCCACTGTTGCCAATCCCCAAATTACCCTTTCTCAAAGATTGAACAAATCCCCCATGTTTCTTGGAGTATTGTTTCATACCAACTTTGCACGTCATGTATCATTCTGATAAATCAATAGATCTGTTGTAAAAGTCAAGACTTTGCTATACCTCTGCTGCTTCTCATCCCAGTTTGAGAGGCAGTAGTGACAAATGTAGGATTCTGTTAAAGTCTGCCAGGATATGGAAGATATCATTGTGAAGTAGATGGTTATTCTAGTTGTGTGAGAGAGGTGTTAAGCCAGCCAAAACAAATGCTTACTCTTTTCTGGAGAGAAATTTTCTAAGTGGATCCCAATCATAAAGATGTCAACCTGTCTGTTTTAGAATCTCTGTTCTGCTACTTGCTAGCCACTTGACCTTGAGCAAGTTATTCATCTCTGTGTGCCTCAGTCTTGTCCGTACAATGAGGATAATAGTAGGGCTTACCTTATAAGATTGTTGTATATCCTAAAAGAGATCATTGTGTAGTGTAGGCCCATTGTCAATAACAATAGTTATTTTTTTCTATGCTTTTTCACTTTTATGATTTTTTTTTTCTGGATATGGGTTGCTTTGTTTTAGGTTCAGAGCATCATTCGCTCCCAAACCAGTATGGGTATGCGTCATAGAGATCGTCCTACTACTGGTAACACCCTCAAGTCTGGCTTATGTTCGGCCCTTACAACCTACTTTTTTGGAGCTGATCTCAAGGGGAAACTGACAATCAAAAACTTCCTTGAATTTCAGCGTAAACTTCAGCATGACGTTCTAAAACTGGAGGTAGGACTTCAGGAGATCTATTGTGTATGTGCATAGAGCACTGGGCTAGGAGTAGAACAGCATTCTTTCCATCTCTCTCCAACTGAGAGAACTGATTGGTTTGAACATTATTGGTGATTTATGACCTAGCAGCAGGAAAGAAATGACATATTCTGGGAAAATGTCATGGAGTGATGTGGTTCTGCAACTGAAAGTCAAAAAAGCCCACCTTGTAAATCTTGGTTGTCTTGGGAGACCCCACTGGAGGAGAATAAATCCAGTGCTCAGAGCAGCTCCCATGCTGAGTATGCACCCCTAGTTTCATGTTCATTGTGTGGAAGGCACTAGAAGGTTGAGATAAGGGGACATATTGAACATTTCTTCCTATGAAAGTTTGCAGAGCTAATAACAGCCAGAAATACCAAATGTTAGAATAAAAATGTGTGCTCAGAGTTACAAAGGTATTACTGTTTTGAAGGATTTACTTGCTTACTTATCCCCTCAAAGTTTGGACATCCCAGCTGTTCAGTCCCTGGGTACTACTTCCTAAAGGTATCATAGCATATACTCAGATACACTTACTGAATTAAGTGTGTTTTGAGTTTGTTGGCAATTGTTTCTATTCAAAACATTTGTCAGATGCCGTCTATGTGTACTTTTATTTGGAGACAAAAAATTCTCTAATTTTTTGAGATTTAAAAAAATTCTATTAGACTACTTTTTCTTGGCCTGTTTTCCAATACATGCCTTACTTTAATATTACTTCAAATTTCAAAATATTAAATACTATAACTAAAACGTGAAAATATTGGGAAAAAACATTGCTTGATTTCCAAACTATATACATCCTTTCTCTGCATTTTCTCCCATTTTCTTCTGATTCTGACACACCCATCCCACCTTTTCCACCCACCAGACTCAGTTGAGACAGTGTGAAAAATCACAACTGAACTCCAGTTATCCATAAGAATGTTGTTTGATAATCTTCATAATCTTGGGGGAAAAAAATAGAAGGATGAATAATATTTAAAATCAAGTCAAACTTTAATATATACTTTTTACTTTTTTTAATATGATAGGATTAATAATCATAGAATTTACCCAGAAAAGTAATAGATTTCTACAGTGAGTCGAGCATCTTATGGACACTCTTGAAGTCCCTGTAATAAGTGGCATATAGTTAAAACTGTAGATATAGCTACAAGTCAGCACATTTTTACTACAGTGAAAAACAGTTTAGCTTTCTTACCCTGACTCCTGTAGTGCTGCGGGGTAGATAATAGCTTTCTCTGTTGAGCACAAGGCACAGGCTAAGTAAGCATTAGGAAAGGTGACGGTGTTTCTGGATTTCAAAGGTTTTCCCCACTACATGTATAACACGTCAGCCTAGCAAACCACTGAACAGTTATTAAAGCAAAAGTGATGAGCTCGTCAGCTCCCTTTAACCAGAAATTCAGTCATATTTAATAATGCCTCAATATCTAAATATTATAGTTGACATGTTAGTTTTGTTTGGCTATTATTCATAGAAGTTTTCTCTTCAGAAAAACCACAGTACGCTAGTTCATGCCAGTTACCTTGCCACAATAAACTGTTTCAGGTCATAGAATTCAAAATAGCATTTCACAAAATGGAGAAAATGAATGCATTTAGTGCATGTAGGCATTATGCTTCTAGAACTTTATTTGGCAATACTAGTGTTGGCACAGGTGGAGTATCCCTTATCCAAAATGTTTGGAACCAAGTGTTTTGGACTCTGGAATTTTGGGGATTTTGGAATATTCGTATATATATGGGAGGGTACCTTGAGGATGAGACTTCGTCTTTTTTTGGAGGGAGGGTGTTGAGATAAGGTCTCACTGTGTAGTCTAGCCTGACCTTGAATTCACTTTGTAACCCAGGCTGGCCTTGAACTCCTGGAGATCCTCCTGCCTCAGTCTCCCAAGTGCTGGGATTCCGGCATGCACCATCACGCCCAGCTGAAACTTAGTCTTAACATGGCATTCATTTATGTTTTATATGTACCCTATATTCATAACCTAAAGATAATTTTATAATTTTACTAATGTACCTGCTTTTTGACTATGACTCATCAAATGAGGTCAGGTGTGGAATTTTCCACTTGTGGTGTCTTGCTGGGATGTATAAAAGCTTCAGATTCTGGAACATTTCAGATTTTGGATTTTTAGACTAGGGATGATTGAGCAGCATATTTTCACTTAATGGAAAGCAGATACTTCTCAAATGGTAAATTTTACTTTGTTCATTGATTATATTTAGTTGTATTTTTATGTATAAAATACACTAGAGATGCTATAACAACATAGCCGATATATATATATGATATATATTATTTATTATATACACACACATATCTTAGAATATAGAAGCAAGAAATAGACCTAACCCAGTAATCTTTATGTAAGAGTATGTACTAGGCTTCAAGTCATATGTTCTAGTGTGTATACCTAGACTGGCTTCTTCACAAACATTTTAACATAATATGGGAATATAAGTGATTTAACTTATTAATTATACAAGTGTAATTTCACATAGAATATAAATCCATAAAATGTAGAGTAAAATTCTGGAGGTTGAGGCAGGAGGATTGTTGCTAGTTTGAGACCAACCTGGGCTACAGAGTGAGTTCAAGACCAACCTGAACTGCACAGCGAGACCCTGTCTCAAAAAGATTAAATAAATAAATAAATAAATAAATAAATAAATAAATAAATAAATAAATAAATAAAATATTTAAAGATGTAGAGTAAAGCACAAAGTATTCTAATACTTTTAATAAACTTTAACAAACAATACAGGGTCAACCCTGAGATGCCACAGAGCTGAAAGCCCACTAATGTATTGTGTATTCCAATACATTCTGTGTATTCCACCCAACAGATTACCTGTGGGGTGGAAGCTTGTAAGGCAGATTAGGGATTTCATACACATTCCCCTTTACATAGCGTACACTCAAATGCAGAAGAAAAGAGATGTAAAGGCGATCTTACCTAAGGTACTTGTTCTAAAAAGTTCCATTGTGTTTGCTGTTGATTTAGGATTATTTGAGGGTCAGCAGTTCCTCAGGTGAGGGCGTCAGTGGACTTCTTTGTGAAGGAACCTAGCCTAACATTTAGTAAGTGTTATTAATCCTGAATCTGTTCTGCCCATATGATGATGCAGGTCAAGTGAATAAATGCCTCTGTATGTGTAGCCCCCTTTTTAAAATTTCGTCAGCCAGTATTGTGTCTTTCCAGCTACACTTACATGTCTTTGAAGATGTGTGAATAGCAGAAAGAACATTGGCTTTGGTATCATTTAGGCCATAGTTAAAAGTTTGGTTCCACCACTTACTGACTTTGTGATATTTGATGCATTTTCTATTCTCTCAGAGCCTGACTACTTGTTTGTAAACCAAGCAATGGTTAAATGAGATGATTTTTTTTTAAAGAGGAAAAATAAAAATAAAACAGAGTTTTGGGGGCGGGAATATAGCTCAGCGGCACAGCGCCTGCCTGGCAAGCACAAAGTTCTGAGTTTGATACCTGGTACCAAAAAGAAAAAAAAAACAGTTTCAAAACAGGATAGTAGGAGAGTAACAATAATTAATACATTGCCTATTGTTATCTTCATAGCAGTTACTCAGAGTACAAGATATAGGCATGAAATATTGTCCATACAGTATTAGCACAAACCTTTCTTTTCAATGAACTAAGAGAAACTAACTGTATAACTATCTTAACTAAAAAAAATTTATATATATTTTATAGATAGGTATGAGATAGTTATGCCAAGATGATGCTTTGTTACAGGCTGTAATGTGTTCCTCTAAAATATATCCCAAGATCTCAGAATGTGACTACATTTAGAGCTAGGACCTTGAAAGGCATGGTTAAATTACAAGGAGGCTGTTAGGGTGGCCCTGATCTGGCTGGTTCTTTGTAAGAAAAGCTCTGGACACACAACTAGCAGGGTGCACATGGGCACCATCTGTCAGCCAAGGAGAAAAGCCTCTGAGAAAACCAACCCTGCTGGCACCTGGTTCTTGGACTTACAACCCCCAGAACTGGGAGAAAATATATTTCTGAGGCCAGAAATACAGCTCAGTGGCACAGCTCCTGTCTGGCAAGCACAAGGTCCTGAGTTCAGTTCCCAGTACCAAAACAGAAAATACATTTCTGGGTTTAAGCCACCCTTGTGTAATTCTGTTATTTTGTTGTGGCAGCCCTGTTACACTAATGCAAGGTTTTATATGTAACCACCTGGCATGCAAGATGCCTTTAAGAAGTGTTTTCAACATCCAACATGGCCGCGGTCAGTGAGGAGAGACATCGTCTCCAAGGGGCTTGCCTGAAGAGTAGGAATTCTAACACTTTCAGAGAACTATTTGGAAAGAGCAAGTCTACTTCAATAAATGAAGGAGAATAAAGAAAATTCAAGGCCTTCAGTAACGTCAGCAAACCCAGACCACACAAAACCATGTTCGTGCTGGGGTGAGGAGACTTGGCTCACTCACCCTCACAGCATGAAGGATTTGACCAGCCGCAGAGGCCCGGTCCCTCCAGAGGGTGCTTGGCTCATCTTTGATGTAGCACACACTTGGGACTGTTTATTTCATCACTTCCACGTGTCTCATTCCTTCAGGCAATTCCCAAGGTATAGCTTTTGTCTCTCATTTAGGTGACACCAGCTTCTTGTCTCTTTTTAACTGGGAAAGTGGAAGAAACTCCAAAAAACATGTAAAGATAACACCAGAACAGCTTGTAGTTCATTAAATGATGTACAGTTTGGCCAGTTTGGAGATGACCCAAAGGAAGAAGTAATGGTTCTGGAGAGAATCTTACTACAAACTGTAAAGTCTGATTTACAGGTAGAACATCCATACCAGCTCCTACTCAAATATGCAAAACAACTCAAACGTGATAAAAAGAAAATTCACTGGCAAGCGCAAGGTCGTGAGTTCGGTTCCTGGTACCGGAGAATAAACCAAAAAAAAAAAAAAAGAAAATTCAAAAGTTGGT